AAGAGCAGTTTCTTGCCTAAATGGCTATCCAACTCCATAAGGATCCTCTTCGATGCCCATCTTCCTCTCGAAGTAGATTGGTGCTGCCAGGAGCAGACATGTCTCATTGTCATGAAAAGTCCTAAGTTATTAAAATATTTTAAATCCCATATTCTGTAGCCTTTGAAAGATATGAAGAATGCCTATCTAACTGAAATATATCTCTATATATCTAGAAAATCTAACTAACATGACTACAAGCTTGATTAGTATTGATCAACAACCTATATTTCCTAATTATACATTACAATTTTAAATGAACTACACAATCACAATACCTTAATCAAGATCAGAAATACATATAACAAAATTGACCTTAAAATCCGTGCCAATGCAAATTATTTATATCTATATCATATCCCCTTTTAAATGTAAAAGAACATTTATAAACAATATTTTGGGAACATGGGCACAGTTTTTTTCTCTCCAAACTGCTTTCTGCTGAATTGGGGCACAATTAATTAGGTCTTTCATGGTATAACCTGTGTGCCAGGGTCATCTCAGTTGGTTGTTGAGTGAAGTAATTTTTTGAGGGTGTTCATAGTAACCTTTCAGGAGGGCGTGGTCTATCATACCAAATTGGAATAGAAGAAATCCATAGGGTCTCATCCTCTGCAAAAACAAAAGAAGGACTTTTCCAAAGCATCATAACCTTAGATCCAAATTTTGAAATCGTAATACCCTTATATCCATTTTGGTTTAGCTTGGCAGCCCATGTAATGAAATGTCTCTCTGTATTTAGCTCCTTTCTTATTGGCTAGCTCTTACATATCAATCTAACCCATTTCTAATAATCTGTGTAGCTCCACGAGCTGGCTTACTAGGAAAGATCTTAACCTGGTCTGTCTGGAGTGGGAGAATCATGGCGACTCCCTGACTCAGCTTCTTTCTCCCAGCATTCTGTTCTGTTTACTCCACCTACCTAATTTTCTGTCCTATGAGGGCCAAGGCAGTTTCTTTATTAGTTAACCAATGAAAGCAACAGATAAGATACATGACCCACCTCTATCACATATTTACAATGCAATATGATTTAGTAAATATTTATCTTCTAAATAAAAAAAAATAATGCTGAGAAAGAATGAGGAAGGGGTCAGAAAAATGCAAGAACAGTGAAATGTAATGATGTAGGCCTGGCATATTCAACATTGAACCCAAAGCTGCCTACCATTGGTGCCAAACAGCAAAATAGTCAACAGCCAATCAAAGAACAAAGAGTACCTATGTACTACTACATATCCTTGTTGAACTTTGGGCTACTGAAGATTCTGGGACAGTGTCGGGCATTTTATTCAGTTGTGACCCACTGATGTGATCATAGTATCATGGGGATAACTACAAACGTTAGACCCACATATTCTATGGATCATTGCAGTGTATAACAAATGAAACAAAAATTATATAAATGTAGAAAGGTACTCCCCCGGTTGTGTGACTTACAAAGGGAGTAATAAGAATGGGAGGGAAATAAGAGGTTTGGGATTGTATCAGATGTAATAAGTTTATTGTAGATTTTGTCAAAGAATGTATTTAATTCAAAATATGGTGAGAGCATCCAAACAGGCTAGACTCCCACAAAGCCAGTTCATGTATTAGGATCAAAACCTAGTGCCATTGTCCTTGGCTTCTCATCAGCCTTCATTGTCCGCCATGTTCAGAAAGTTCGGTTTCATCCCATGCTTGTTCAGTCCCAGTCCCGCTGGCCTTGGTGAGCTCCCAATAGATCAGTTCCACTGTCACAGTGGGTGGGTGCACCCCTCGCGGTCGTGACTTCCTTGCTCATGTTCTCCCTCCTTCTGCTCCTCATTTGGAGCTTAAGAGCTCAGTCCGGTGCTCCTATTTGGGTCTCTGTCTCTATCTCGATCCATCGCCAGATGAAGGTTCTAAGGTGATATGCTAGCCTGTTTGGATGCTCACCCTCCTGGACCTGAATAGAAGTGGGAGGACCTTGGACTTCCCGCAGGGCAGGGAAACTGGACTGCTCTTCATTCTCGAGAGGGAGGGGGAATGGAGTGGGGGGAGGGGGAGAGGGGGAAGGGGAGTTGGGGAGGGAGCAATGTGTGGGAGGAGGAGGAGGGAAATGGGAAATGGGGGGGAGGAGGCAGAAATTTTTTTCAACAACTAAAAAAAATAAACAAAAAACAAATAAAGAAAATTAAAAAAATATGGTGAGAGAATTGTTGAGAGTCAAATCTGTAAACACACTAGGGATAATTTCTTCTGAAAAAAAAAAGCCAGAATCTGCATGTATGTACATATCAAGGTCTGTTGCCAGACATGAGCAAGGCTTATCTGTAATCATATGATCTCAGGAAAACATGATATACAAGTTTGTATGTTTTACTGAGATATTTGTATTATGAAAATCTCTTTAACATATTAAAACAAACATACAAGTTGATTTTAGCCATAACCTCATGAAATGTTGGCATGATGTTCAAGGAGTTCAATTTTTCATATCTGTTTATCAATGAGCTAGACCAGTCAGGAGGTGGTGGTGCATGGCTTTAATAACCACATACAGAGGCAGAGGAAGGCAAATCTTTGTGAGTCTGAGGCCAGCCTGGTCTACAAGAGCTAGTTCTGGACAGGCTCTGAAGCTACAGAGAAACCCCGTCTCAAAAAACCAAAAGGAAGAAAGAATGAAAGAAAGAAAGGAAAATAGAAACAAAGAAAGAAGAAAGGTACTAGACCTCAACCCTTGTAAACAAGTATACATATAGTTTATGCAGCAAATAATACACTATACCAGATCACATATATTATGAACTATTATGAATAAAATAATATCAAGAACATATGTTTACTTAACTGGCCTTAATAATTATGTTATTTCATTATATAAAATCATGATCATGCAAAGAATTTGTGAACTGAGGAAAGTACATTCAAATAGTATAAAAGGTGTCCTTTCAGTTATGGATAAAATATAGAAAAAATCTGAATTTATATGAATAGTTAAGGCTTGAAAACTGACAGAGATTATATCAATATAAGGTAACTAACTTTATGATGTGATGTGTTTAGCATTTTTATTTCTACGTGGCTGCAGTCTCAACAGATATCTTCAATGTCTTCTGTTGCAAATGTAGAATTAGAATTCACATATAATGCCATATATTATTTTTTATTCTACCTTGCCATAGGCCAAAGAAGATTATTAATTAACCAATAGTAATAAAAATATTCACAATATACATAAGGGAATGCCACATGCACTCCCCTTTTCTGTCTATATAAAAAGGAAAGTTTTAAATTTAAAATAGTAAAATTACATATAAAAAAATGGGTATCAAGCAACAATTACAGTATATTTTTGTGAGTCTAAAGTTTTATTTCCAATTTATCTTTTATCTCAACTAAGGAAAACTATAACTATCTGTCCTCACCTCCATCAAAGACACCAGAAGGTTATACTATTACCTAAATCAACAGGAAGTGCATTGTAAGCAACTTCCTAAATTCTAGAATTGACAGACACATCTTGCTGCCTGGACAGAAGAATTCTTCTGTAAAATAGGGGTATCCATCTTCAGCCTATAGGCCCATAGTATCTGGCAGACTTTTCCATGAAGTAGAAAATTGGAAAGATTGTTCAGTCACTTTCTTCTGTCTTCTAGAGAATGTCCAACAGTTTCTTTTGTGAAGCTGGAAACCTGAAGGGCGATCTTACCTTTTTTCTAATTTATTTATTTATTAAAGATTTCTGTCTCTTCCTCACCGCTGCCTCCCACTTCCCTCCACCTCCCCCAATCAAGTCCTCCTCCCTTGTCAGCCCAAAGAGCCATCAGGGTTCCCTGCCCTGTGGGAAGTCCAAGGACCACCCACCTCCATCCAGGTCTAGTAAGGTGAGCGTCCAAACTGCCTAGGCTCCCACAAAGCCAGTACATGCAGTAGGATCAAAAACCCATTACCATTGTTCTTGAGTTCTCGGTAGTCCTCATTGTCCGCTATGTTCAGCAAGACCGGTTTTATCTTAGGCTTTTTCAGACCCAGGTCAGCTGGCCTTGATGAGTTCCCGATAACAAACAGGTAACGATCTTACCTTCTTTAGGCAAGTTCAGCAGTCATTTTTCAGTGGATTCTGCATATTCAGTTTATATAGCATACTGTCGCTAAGCAGTCCAGGGAAGAGCAGTTTCTTGCCCAAATGAGTAACTAGCCTTCTAACAGTGAAGGCAAATTCCATAACAAGTTTCTTTAATGCCTATCAACCTCTAAAGTATTGGCATTGCCCAAAGCAGACATGTGTCACTTTCAAGAAAAGTCTAAATTCTTAAAAAATTTTAAATGTCATATTCTGTAGATCTTTAAAGTGGTGAAGATTATTTATCTAACTAAATATACCTCTACATGTAATATATAGCTTAAAAAGAAATATAGATTAATACATACTGATAAAATAATGCAATATTTTAAAATATGGTAAGATTGATAAATAATTCAAAGTGGATTTTTTTGTTTGTTTTTTATTTTTGTTTGTTTGTTTGTTTTTTATAGACAGGGTTTCTCGGTAGCTTTGGAGCCTTTCCTAGAACTAGCTCTTGTAGACCAGGTTGGCCTTGAACTCACAAATGCCCACCAGCCTCTGCCTCCTGAGTGCTTAAATTAAAGGCATGTGCTACCATGGCAGGGCTCAAAGAGGATTTTGTTACTAAAATTCTAAGCAAAGTGACTTGCACCAATTTTGGAACACAGATGATGTGTAATAATATGTGGTCATTATTTTGCAGCATTATTGTTATTGTCTACTCTTAAATACATATTTTATGCAGAGCTATTACTCATTCTAGTGGTAAAACTGTAATTATTACAATTTTTAATGTATTTTTTAATGGCTATTTTCATAACCATATGCTAGTTATATTATATAAATTCCAGAAAAAAAGTTATTTGTATAAAATGGAGTGTACACCATGAATTTTCTGATAAAATAAGATGTGTAAAGCTTATTCCAGAACTCACCTGTGATTTAACGACTTCTTTAAGGCATTCTTAATGTCTCTATTTCTCAGTGTATATATGGCTGGATTCAGGAGAGGTGTGATGACTGAGTAAAATACAGCAAGAAACTTATCCACCCAAGTGATGCTGACAGGCCACAGATAGATAAAAATGATAGGACCAAAGAATAGCACAACCACTATGATATGGGAAGTGCAAGTAGAGAGTGCCTTTGATGAACCATCTTTAGAATGAATCTGAACAGTTAGTAGAATATAAGTGTAAGATATCAGCAAGAAAATGAAACAAATCATTGCTAAAACACCACTGTCAATATTTATTATGATTCTCAGAGTATCAGTATTCATGCAGGCTAATTTCATCACCAAAGGAATATCACAGAAAAAGCTGTCTATCACGCTAGGTCCACAAAAAGGAAGCTCCAAAATCAGAATCAGTTGACTAATGCCATGCACAAATCCAATGATCCATGATATTAAAACAAGCCAGACACACTTCTGTCTGTCCATGATGCTGGTGTAGTGGAGTGGCCTGCAGATGGCCACATAGCGGTCATAGGCCATTGTTACAAGAAGCACCATCTCACCCCCTGCAAAGCAATGTGCAAAGAGGATCTGGCTCATGCAACCCCCGAAAGAAATGGTTTTATTTTCTTTTGTGAGGTCTGTGATCAGTTTGGGGGTAGTAACTGATGAAAGGCAGAAGTCAATTAATGAAAGATTGGCCAACAAATAATACATAGGAGAATGGAGATGATGATCAATGATGATTAAAATCACCACAAAGAGGTTGCCTACCATAATCATCAGGTAGAGGATAGAAAATGGCAACAGGAGCAAAATCTGCAATTCCCTTGAGGTGCAAAGTCCCTGAAAAATAAACTCAGTCACCACTGACTGATTTGTTTCTTCCATTTAGTACACTGGGCTCCAAAATGTTGAGAAAGACAGAGCCTAATTAAGAATTCCTGAAACAGAAACAATAACTTTATGTTCAGAATTAATTAAGAAGAATATATATTGTATCTTAGCATTGTACCCAGCCAAATTTAAAATAGCTTCCTTGAGTTTATATATTCTTTCTAATTGGGAAATTTTCCTAAATTAAAAAGAAACATTACACATCAGAAAAATAATCTGTATAGGTATTCACATGAATATGTTGTTTAAAAATATTAGTAACAGTTACTCATTTTATATTTTCTTTGCCCTCAATCTAAGTTTTTGGAATGGGTTCAGAGATAATTTTCTTCAACAAATATCTGATCTGTATGTTCAGTCTCTTGACTCTCAAAATAGCAGAATGAAAACCCATTGACATATTTTACACATAAACACAAAATTCCCAGGCACCAATCTATTCATGATTACGTTTGAAGAGATGTAATCAAATAAATTCTATTTAATGTTTGATACAAATGGTTCATCAAATAAACTGAGAAATTACATGCCAAGCATACGTTTTTTAGCATTGTCTTTCCATACTCTTTGGACTTATGCATTGCAGTGTATCTCTAAACAATAATGTACTACTAGTTCTGAGGGATGTTATTTATTGTCATATATTTACAGACTTTCAACTAGAAATGGTGAGATTTCGTAAGATAATTTGAATAATTTATTGATGAAAGCTGCTTTCTCTGCCTCTTTAACTTTCTGTTTCATTTCTTTTTTTTCCTTTCTTCCTTCCTTAACTCTCTCATTTTATTTATTTCTTTTGAGTAGTCTTTCTTAATATATTCAGTTTTCCTACTAAATTTAGGTTTGAAATTAGAAGATTAATATGTCAATAATCTAGGGGATTTTTTTAATTTCCTTACTAGTACTTGAAATATAATAGTAATAACAATATGTATGGATTTTCATATATATGTACAATATGTATGTGTAGATTAAAACTAGTGTTAATTAAGATCTCTCTGTTTCCAAATCCAAATATCAGTTTCAGATTATGAATTATATCATAGGAGATTTTATTTTGAGAGGTTAAAGAAAATCAATGACATTTCTATTCTAACAAGATAATTTGCAATTTTAAATACAAGTACAAATAAGTAAAAATGGTCAATTTCAAAAGCAACAATGGTCAAGCTTACATAAAATTAATTTTATTGTATTCAAAATTGAGCATACTTAACTCTTTGACTATCAATGACATTTTCACATCTTTTTTTAATTTGGTGAATTCCTAGTGAAATATGATTTTTCTAATCATTGTCCCTCTCATTCCCCTTTATTTTTTTAATAACTACTTCCCTATTGTTTTTTTTTCATCTTGAGAAGTAGAAAACCCAAAAATCAAAAGATAATCACATAATATTAAAGTTACCCTAAGAAAACTTTAGATGTGAGCGTATAAAACTGCATTGTGTTTCCAGATGCCTCAAGCTCTAGTTGGAAGGGGAAACTACAATATTTTTGTCACTCACAACTGTTAAAAAACCATGAATGCTGAAAACACTGTAAACTCATACAGTATTTAAAACAAACAAATCAACTTTAAGTGGGTAGTTGCAATAAAATTTAAAGTACAACAATCAGTGTGTGATGCACACACAGTACAAGAATCACCTTATAAAGCAGATCTTCCCTTTTGGATGATGTTTCCTCTGATTTTCCCAGGAATCTGAAACTCTTAAATTATTGTTTCTGCCATAACCAGAGTTGCTGAGATGTTTCAATTCTGTGTGGCTTATATACACTGACAAGAGCCATAACTGCCTTGGAAGGTTTCCCATTCTCCACATGAAATAATACCTTCAAGTTGGAAAGCCTTTTGATTTCATAGTCTTTGGGGAATCCCTAGCTTCCAGCTTTCCTTGATTTGCATAAGAGAGTTGAATAATAAAGAGGCATTGTTCCCTTAATTTTATAAATATTTTTGAAAATATGAGTTAATAGTTTGCACGTGTTATGACAACTTAAAAAGATGAATACATGGGACATTGAGATGCTGCATGTAGCAGTTAAAGTCACTTGTTGCCAAGCCTGATGACCCAATCTAAACTTTGGGATCAACAAGATGGAGAGATAGAATCCACTCACTCAGCTGAGTTCTGATCTCCACACAGATGTAGTTTTAGTGGTATAAGACACACACACACATGTATGTATGTATGTATGTATGTATGTATGTATGTATGTATATATGTATATGACTACATTAATTACACATGCACCCATGTTATGAAATGAGATTATTATTTCAAAAAGCGAGAAAACATCTGTAGTATACATATCCATTTAGACAATTATCTCCACACTAGGCAATGCCAACAGACATTTTTTTCTTTCTCAATTTCTTTTGATACTTTATTATAAACCCTTGTCACATATATGAATCATGCAAATGATTTTATTTTAGATTATACAATTTGTCCTTTTTCAAATTAATTTCATTACATATAATTAATAAGAACATAATTATATTTTGATAGCTATAACTATAGTGAAATTGCTTATTAGTACTTTATGTAAAAACTGTGTGCATTAAAATCATTTAAAATCTCCTTTCAACTTTTGATCACATAATTCTATTTCATTAACTATAGTGTTCATTACATCCATTTCAAAAAACTAATTTACTTTTAACTGTGTATGCAATTAAAACTTTCAGCTGTTAAAAACAATGACATCAGGAAAATTGAATAAAAATACATGCAACTTGAAAGAGTCATCCTGAAGGAGATAACTTGGGATAAAAAAAAAACATAGTATGAACTCATTCATAATTGTATATTAACTGCAAAGAAAAGAATAATTATGCAATAATTCACAGACTGAAAGGAGAGATAACAAGGAGGACCCACAGGGTTATATATGGATTTCCCAAAGAACAGGAAATAGAAGAGATCTCTTGGATGGACCAGGGGCAGGTGGGGACAGGAACTTGAGGGATTTGGTTTAGGAGTGGGTAGTGTTTAACAGAGGAGCAGATTCAAAACCAATTGTTGATAGAAAAATGGCATTGTGTATCCTCACTTATCCATGTGCTATGTCCTATTGGCTACATTTATGAGAGGTGGAGATCACTGAATAACAGTTAAAATCGAAGTGTAATGATCAGGAGATCACATAAGATGAAGTTTAAATAGGTAAGGCAGCTTATGCTTCTACTTCGCATGCAAGATGCTGAGTCAGGAAAACCATAGGTTCAAGGCCTCCCTGAACCACATGATAGTTATGTAAGTAAAAGTGGATACAAGCGTATTACATGTTATTTCTGACACAGATTATTTGTGTTTTGTTGTGTATTATATTGTTTCAGTTTGATTTACAAAGATTTCTTCATGTTTCTCAAGCCCCTAATTTTTTGAGTTCTCCTACTTAGATAGTGACATAGCTAGAGTTTTTATATTGGAAAGAAACACCAGGACCAAAAAGCAAGATGGGATGGAAAGGGTTTATTAGGCTTACACTTAGTATTGATGTTCATCACTGAAGGCAGACAGGAGAGGAACACAAAACAGGGAAGAATCCCAGAAGCAGGAGCTGATACAGAGGCCATGGATGGGAGCTGCTTACTGGCTTGCTTAGCCCGGCTTGCTCAGCCCATGTTCTTATAAAACAAGGACAAGCAGCCCAAGGATGGCACCACAAACCACAGGCTGGGCCCACCCCTACTGATGAATAAATAAGAAAATGCCTTACAGCTGAATTTCAAGGACACATTTCCTCAGCTGAGGATCCTTCCTCTGATGGCTCCAGTGTATGTCAAATTGATGCACAAAACTACCCAGTAGAGGGTACAGTGATTTCTGTTATTTTCATATTAATGCTTTTACAGTAACATGTTAATTATATCTAGCTGGATTTCTTAATAACTGTGAACACCAATATTTTTTCACAAACTGAATCACTTGGCCTGATACATCTGGCATATATTTTATTGTGTGTGCTCAATTTACTGCAGATGTCAGATGCACAGATTGAGTTCATTTACAACATTTAAATAATTACTCAGAATAATACAACATATAAAGATATAAAATGGTGATTAAAAATAATAAAACCACTTTTATAAACTAACTATTCTGCAAATTACGCTATATTTATTACATTGTGTCATTTTAATGATAGAAATCCCAGTGCTGTTTTATTAGAGATTTCTACTAATTGCCTAATACTCTGTGTGTGTATGTGTGTGTGTGTGTGTGTGTGTGTAGCATTTATTTGGTTACAAACAAAAATTACTGTAAATGGAGACTGAACTTTTATTTCCTAGCTGCCCAGACCTCAATAATCACACAGAAACTATATTAATTACAACATTGTTTGGCCAATGACTCAGGTGTGTTTCTAGAAAGCTCTTACAACTTAAATTAATCCATTTCTATTAATCTATGTAATGCCACATGGCTGTGGCATTACCTCATTTCATACATGCCTTGTTTCCTCGTTGGATGACTCCCCACTTTCTTTTTCCATGCATTCAGTTTAGCTTTCAAATGTAGTTTTAGTAACAAAATCTTTAAAGAGACAGTAAAAGTAATATTTGCATATTCCATGTTAATAAGGCTTTTATTTCTTACTCTTTTACTGTATAATATTTATTATCTTTACTCCTTTAATCTATGACTTTCTGTTCACTTTTATATTACCTTAATGTTTCTTTAAAGACCTTATTTTATTTTTTAAAATATTTTTTATCACTGCCTATACCCATTTTCTTTTTTTCTTAAGCCTACATACATTTTTTAAACATATTATGACTCGTCTAGTAGTTTATTTTTCTCCAAATCTGTCTCAATTGTGTATTTATACTTCTCTTTTTTTGATCACTGCTTTAAGCTGTTAAGCATACATGGCTAGGACCAGACGTGCTGCTTTGGTTACTGTCAACATTTATTTATTTACTTATTTCGTGTGTGCATGTATGGGACTATTTGTTGATGTTAGAGCAAATCTCACGGAGT